ATGAAGGTGGGTCGGTTAATCTCGTAGCCTTTTCTATTTCCGAGCCAGCCGTAGTGGCGTGAATCTACTAAGAAATCTCGAACCATGCTTCAAAAGCAAATACAAAATAGACGAGAACGCGAGGATTATCGAGGCGACGGGAAACCTTTGCGGAGTGTCGGGCGACAAGCCCTTATTGAATCCCTATGTTAATCTGCAAACGATCCGTAGATAAGATTGCGGCTTCTAGATCATTCATGCGCTGTATTATACGGCTTTCGTTTCACACGATAACTTTTACTAATATTTTACAAATTATCTATCGATACCAGAATTTACTTGACTTGAGCTCTTAAGTAAAATCATAAATGGTTTTAATAATACTATTTGATTATTGATTTCATGTTTTTGCGCGAATGTTTTACAGACCTTAACAAAACACACATATTGATATGGACCAAACACAGCCGCCGATATTGATATGGACCTCGTTCGTACTGCTATAGACGACAGGCCACGCAGGTTGAAGGTTTTTATACAAAAGCGCTTTGGTGAGTTTAAAGAAGCTAACATAGCTTCTTCAAAGTCACCAAAGCGCTTTTGCACGTATGTTTTAGTAAGTTCCTCTTCGTATATAAATGTTTACTGTAAGAACAAGCATGTGTCAATTATTTCAAAATAAACATGCGCGTTCTTATGAAACGTCAAATTTTAGAAAGACAAAGAAAAAATAAAAGTTGCTGTCATGCTGTTATCCTCATCGAAAATTTTACCTAATCGTCAGATTTTCTTTAGGCGCACGGTATTTCCTTCAAAATCGAGCATATGACAAAGAAGCATTTGAAACTGCGACTGACATTGGCCCCGCCACTTAACATGAAGTATCTTTTTTTTTTTTTTTGGACAAACACCCAGATGCGAAACAACTATCTGTTGTCCCGTGTGGGAATCGAACCCCCGACACCGAAAACAATACCTTGGCGACAGCGCCACGGAGTCATCAAAGAGGATTTCTGGAGGATTAAGAGAAAAACAGCGATCGCGCGGACACTGCGCCACGGACGCTCTTCAGAATCTCCAATAACAGAACAACAATAGACCGCTCTCGCAATCGCACATGCCGCACATTGCCGAGATAACGGTAAAAGGGGGAAATACATTCCGAGTGTCAACAATGTAGGCAGGAAGGGCGCACGGATTGAAATAAACATGAGTTGGCCGTTGGACGATGGATGCTACGGTACGTTTAATAAACTGCTATCACTGATAAATTCTGAGAGACTTGTCACTGTCTTCAAAACCATTTTTGAGTATGACTCGAAACGTTTGCCGTTTGTTTATACAGCCTTTTCTACGCCCATCGAGTTTTGACGTTTTAACGCCAAGCCTCGATAGCATATAACGGGTTTATAAGCTATCGAAAGGCAAGCGCAATATGAAGATGGTAAAAAGAACGCGAAAATGTTGGCATTAGAGCGCCCTGCGCTCGATGAAACTACATTAGGGTGTATGCGATATCATCCGTCTTTTTACCTAACTTGAGTAAGTAGTAAATACATTTTTTTGATTAGAATGTTTGAAAAAAGTGTTATTTGTAAATAGTATGATTATGATAACCAGTATATTTGTTCCGGACGGGCCAAACTCTCGAATTCGTGTCGATAACCGTCGTCTGACGAAAATCAATCGAACATCGATGCGAAAAGTTTCGGTGTTGGATTTAGTCGATACGGTGAAAGTTTTTTCATTTCCTGTTTTTCGGCGAAGTCATACAGTGTATATAAAGTATTGAGTATATAGAGTATTTTTGGAATCCATTTTTCTACACAGGGTATGTGGATATAATCAAAATGTTAACGGTCCTCCGTTTTTCTATACGTTAACTTCTATAAGTTTCAGTATAATATACAGATCATGAAACTGGTTTCTTTCATAATAAGCATTCCGAAATATAAAAGTAAGCGAAACTACGTACCATGAAAAAATAAAAGTCACTCACTGTGCAAATTACACGATAACAGAAGCATAGGCGAAATTCCCGAAAAACAAAGAATTTTCATCACGATATGGATCTATGTAGAAACAGCAAACTGTACTGTTGCCGTACATTTGAGATCATAGCTTTTTATAAAGGGAAAAATGTATGTAAATAAGCTGTTTATATATATACATATATATAACGTATTAACAGAGGTAACAAAAGTAGCAGAAATACTAGTTGAAAAACACGAACTGCCTTTTGTCCGTTTTCATTTGTCCGGTATTCACCGTCCATCCGACATTACTGAAATAGCCCATAAAGGCTTGCAAGCTATATTTCAATTTGCATAATTTACAAATTATATAGTTTTTATATTGCAAAAGCTAGAATCGTCGTAGAATTAAAATATTTATAATCTTATTTACGCGTTGGTATTATAATTTTTACTAGAATTATGCAACAGTGTTATAGTTGGCTTCAACATAAAGGTGAAATGCTCATGCAGATTATCAAACTTCTATTTAACCGTGGGATGAGGCAGAATTAGTCTGTAGCTAGTAAATATATAAACTATTCATCGTGGGATGGTCAAATTATGATATAAGGTGAAGATGTATTTTACGGCACGAATATTGAACCAAACATTTATTATTCGATCTGAACATCGATTTTTCGATGTCTCAATTTAAGTGTTGTTATTTACTTTCCATATGAACATAAAGTATATATATGAGAAAAAATAACAAAGTATCAAGAATATTTTGAAACAATTATGACTGGTCGTGTCATAGTGACGCCTACTGTTTTGATTCTGCAATTAGCACGTTTCGTCGGATGATTTAAAAAATCCGGCCAAGTGCGATTCCAACTCGCCTATGAAGGATGCCGTATCATTACTTATAAAAAGGGCGAAATAAATCATGTCTGTTGTATGGGGGCCCCACTTAAATATGTTTTGATTATGTTTAATAATACTTGTTGTTATAGCAGCAACAGAAATACATTATCTGTGAAAATTTCAACTGGTCCCGTTATATCCTATGGGTAAAATATTTTTGGGTTCCGTAACCCTAAAAGGCCTGCCCAATGATATTTTATACAAAAGATAATATGCTGTTAAAGATGTCAGATAAGGAATTAGTAGCGGAATTAGGATTTGGCCCGTGAGCCGTGAGCTGAAAATTTTGAGGGGCGCCAAAATTTTTAAGACAGCTGAATTTAAAAATCTATTGGGTTTTCTGTGAACGGAAAGCCTAAATTTTTAAAGTTTATTTTCTTACGCTCTTACAATCTAAACATGTACCATTCCAAGAATAGAATTTCTTTATCGCCATCAAACCTAAATCCGCCACTGCCCTGAGTGAAGCTTGAACTGAGATGCTCCCAATTGGGACGTTTTCGTTTAGTTAACACTGGGACCTCGAGGTTTTTAAATGAAGTAATAAACACTTTCTTATTGCTTTTTATACCATTCGAACGAAACGCGTCTACATGTGCTGACTCTGTTTGGACCTAAGAACACTTTCGGACGGTGATATGTATTCTTATAACATATCTATAGCATAAGATGTCTCTGGGCCCACCAGAAGCACCTACAGTGGAGTTACATAATTATGTTTTGATTTGTCTACAGCCATGAAACATACATGTTTTTATTATTAAAATAAATGAATATTATGAAAAAAATATTAAATCATCATGTCCACTAAACATTGCGAAATTTTCGTATTCTAAGGATGCTGTGAGCTATATGTAAGCTGTTTGACTACTGGCCACTTCAAACTGTTTTGCTATTTATCATAATGCTCCTAATTAGATTTTAATGTTAAATGTTGTAAAAGCTTGCTACTGTTACCCTTTAATTTTAATTTCTATTCAGAACTCGGGTCTTGATTCATAAAGTATTGTAACACAAGTTTAAATTATCTTTATTTTAGAAATTCCTGTTATAGAACGATATTAATAAGTAATGTGATCAGTAGTGGTCTGTCAGGATTATCATTGACTGATCAGAACAAGAGAATGGAGAAGTTGTTTTAAATCAAAAAGACATTTCGCCATGGATTTAGAGGTTATCTCGAATGCATAATGTTACGGCGCCAATCGGGGGCTCACAGGAAGCTTTTAGAAGGATTCGGGTGCCGTTGTACGGATGAATGAAGTACGGGAATTGTCCGAAATGCAAAACCCGCGATTATTCACTTGACCCGGATTGCGGGGCCAGACGCGTTATTGCCGCATGCTAAGCGTGCGTTTTATTTTTAGCTCTAGTGTAAACTATGATTACTTCAAGCGTGGAGTGAAGTAGCTACTACGCTTTACATGACGAACGAGATTTACGCCAACTAAAGTACGTAGCTGAACCATATAAATTTTCCACATATTAACGTATTATATGGAAATAAATTTCATATAACGTAGTCGCGTAAATTAATTTTCTCAACCACCCGCCTCAATCGTCTGCAGGTAAAATATTTTCGTCATATAAAAATAGATAATATTAGATAACGCGCGGGTGAAACTCGTTACAGTAACCCAATTTATGCGGTTAGTTCTTTATCCATTTGGAGTGTTTTAAAATAGACACGCGGCATTTTGTTTGGTTCTTTCAATATATTACGATACTAGGAGTAAAGTATGAATAATTTATCTTATAGAAAGTTTATATTGGACAAAACAACGATGTGGATTTATAAACTGACGCGCTCAACTAGAAAATGTAAATAAGTCTTTATAAATAAAGTAAAAGCGGCTGGAAAATGTTGACTTTCTTATTTAAATGCTGGCCTGTTGGTGTAAAAACGGACTGTGAATTTTATTGGATTAAATAAATATGTAAAGAAAAAAAACAGGAGAGGCTCTTTAATTAAAAGAGCCTTTCGTGTTTTCAAAACCCATAATTAAAAGAGACGGGACTTAAATTGACGGTAATAAAAGTTCAGATATTTATAGAAAAACTCACGAAAATAGATGACCATAAATTTCTCGACTATTTGATAGTATTACAATGCGTTTGTATGTAGGTCAACAGTCCAACTTACTTCAAACTAAACATAAGATTTTTTTTAATCATATTATAATACGACTTACCGTTACGTGGGGTCCTCTGCAGTATTCTCTGTATCTCGCCAGCCTCTGAGCCGCTCTCCGATTCCGAACACACAGAATGAACACCACTCACCAAGAGTACGTTCTTATTTACGACTTTGTAGTTTTTCGCAACACTACCGACACTGGTCGTCCTAACGGGGGGTCGCGGCGGACCCCTAAAGGGGCTCTGCGCTACCTCACTGATGATTTTGTTCTGATATGGCACATTTCTCGCGTTCAGGGACTTGTAGCTGTCATTCGACAGTTTCAGATCTAACGCGACCCTTCTCGCGCTGTCCCCGTCGATGGGTACGGTGTTCGAGTACTGCTCGTCGAAGCTCACCCTCTTCGGTCGGTGGGCGTTGTTGCGCGCCTCCTGGGTTAGGGATCCGCGTTGGAATATCGGCATTTGTACGCCGGCGGGCGACGTGGTCCGCGTGTTCGTCTCGTGGGTGCGCCTGTACTGAACGCCCGCCTCCGCGTCGCCCGTGCGATTCCGTATGAATGAATCCGTCCGCCTCTCGGGGGCGCCTCTCGAAAACGGCGCGAGCGCGTAAATCTGTTGAGTCACGTTATAATTTAAGTCCCTGCCTCGCGGCAGACTGCTGCTCTTCACTCCGACCGCTAAAGAGCTGGGCGTGCTGCGATTGGAGCTGCTACAAAGCGTTGCGGGCGACCGCATGCGGTTGTCCAACGACTGCCTCAGGAAGCACTCGTCTTCTCTCTGTTTCAGCTCTTTCAGCTTCTGCCAGTAGAACGCCTCCACCTTTTGGCGCGTCTTTTCTTTTTCACTGTTACTATCGACCGTGGGCGTTTCTCTGCCGGGAACCGGTGTCGAGGGATTTGATCGTTCTATGAAAGGCTGCCTCGGTGAGGAGTGTGCATTGCGCACACTGGCTCTACTTAAAGAGTTCCTTTTCTCTTCTGTCTCGATCATGGTTTTCCTTACATGCTCGTATGGGGAAACGGTCGTTGGCATAATTGGTCTTTTGTGCGTGACGGCAATCGGTGTGCTGGGGGCGGAATAGTTGTATGGTTTGTTGACTAACATTTCTTTTTTGCTAAGCTCTTCGTTTGCTTTCCAATTGGCTCTTAACTTATCTTTGTCTAAAGATAGACTTCGGGCTCTCGTCGGTTGTATAGTCCTAACCTCAGCCTCTTTTTTGGGTGAAATAAGGAATTTAGTGCTGACTCTTTTTATCTCGGCGCCAACGGACGCTGGGTTCGCTTGTGCTTGCGACGCCTTGTATATTTCTATTTCATCTAGCGGTGATATTTTATCAGTTAATTTTTCTAATGAGTGATAATAAACATCGGGATATCGGGTGCTGTCTAAGTGATTTATCTCTGGGCTTCTTGGTGGCGTGGCTTGTATTATTTCATTCTGAGGCTTAGGCGGCACTTGCGGTCTCGCCGCGTATTTGGAATAATCATTAACATTTTTATTTTTATCCGACAAATTGTTAGCCCTCACGTTCTCCGAGACCAGGGTGCTGCTTGAGGAATGTGCGCTGGACACTTCGTTGCTACGATCATTTTGTGAATGATCTCTCGGCGACAAGTTCTCGTAAAGACGTTCTTTATTATCGTCCGACACCTGAGCAAATGCTTCTTTATCTGTCATCGATCGCGGATTTTGATATTGATTTTGATTCGATTGGCTTTCGTCAGCACTCTTATGACTTCTTCCGAAATCCTTGTTCGCATTTTTTTCTTTAGAGCGGTGGGAGAAAAATAGGTTTGGAAATATTTTTCTGAAACTGTTTGTACGCTTCTTGTTATTGTCGTTCATGTTTGATCAATGTACAAAAACACAGTATCCTTCGACGTCCCTTACCTGTAACAAAAAGAAATCTATTTCAATTAGATGTTTTTGTATTTTAAATCAACAATGGCTATAATATAGATAATGATTATGAGAATAACATGTCTAGTGTTAAAGTGTCTTAATGTTTATTTCGAAATACCTTCGGTATACCTGAAATACCGAAGGTATTTCGAAATATCTAATACCTACATAACGACGATTTTCAAAATGAACTTAACTTTAACAACGCAGATATCGTATCACAACCCGTAAAAGTATTTTTTTAAAAAGGATGTGTTACTTTTATTTCAGAAGAGATTTTATTTTGTTGGACCTTGCTTCAAAACAATTTTAAAAACTATAACAACATTTTTTGTCTAAATTAATCGTTATGTCAAAGATTAATTTGTCTGCAACACTGCACCTAGCATGTAAAAATATTGTATAGCTGACAACAATAGGGGCCTTCCACGTGAAGCGGGCAGGTAAAAAATGGGAATGTTTCAGATTTTTATAAAATTTGATTAAGATAAACCTATTTGGCCGAGATATTGTCCGGGCGCTCGCTTTTATACACTAATAACTAGTTTCAGAAAATTAATTGAGAAAAATTAAACGGCCCACCTGTGTGATAAGACAAGTTTAAAAAGTTTAATTATGAATGAAAAAAAATTTAAATATCCAAAAATACATTTAAACAGTTCATTAAATGTAATATAAATTTGATTGCTTAATTTTTTTTCATTTATCTTTTTAATGCTTGGTAATGGGATTCCAAATAGTGCATACCTACCGGTTAGTCAAATGTTTACATTTTATACTGTTAAAAATATTTTGTGCCAGTATTGAGGACATACTTGTATTATAGATGTACAACGAAATAAAACACAAAAACAAAAAAGACGAAAAAATCAAATATTCAGAAACATCAACATTTTTTTCTGTACGCTATACGTGGGACCCCAATAACTAGTTTTATTCCCAACATTTATATCGATCTACTTTTATTATTGTTATTCGGAAAAGAATTACATTGAACAATTTTCAAAAGCATATTTTCTCTTCCCACATTTTATTACCTGTTCAAGGTCTTCACGTCCTTTTATACACAAAGGTTCCTTTGAAAGATAATCTTGTATATTTATAAATGTACAATTTAACGTATACATTTAAAATAAAATTATAAGCTCGTTGCAAAATGACGAAATTATTACCATCGGAGCCATTAATTTTACCTCTAATTTCAATTAGTTTAATTAAACCGTTAGGTATCGATTGCATTAAATGTCTTTATCACAAATAAAGAGTACTGGCACAGGGCATACAATTTTTATTTTGTTATTTTTCTTTTGTTTTCATTTTTCTTTTGTTACGCTAAAGAATTATGACATATTTTTTTATAGTATTTGGTTTAATTAAAAAATCAAGAGCACATAAAAATAGATCTTTATAAAGAAAAAACGAAATCCCACCTAGTTTTCAATCTTCAATGTGTTTGTTTTTATGTGATAAAAACAAGAATATGATTCACCTGATGTTAAGTGATACCAGCCGCCCATTGACATTTGCAGATGCGTTGCTACCTCATACTAAAGTGGGCACAGGCTTCCTCACTTACCAGATGAAACCCGGACAGACCTGCCCATGAATATAATGTTATGCACAATCGGTGACAAAATCATGAAGAAATAGTAGACCAGTCGCAAATCTTTAAAAACTTGGATCATGCAAAAGCAATTGTCTAGCTTGCCTTTTGTTCGATTCAACTAAATATTAACAACTTTTTCCAATATTCAAAATATATTAAGCCAATTTTGTATATATTAAGGCTTAGTTTATGTTCCACAGTACTCCGAATGCTCTACAAACATCCCGAATATTTTTACGGATTTGATAGCATCACATTTAACTTTTTAAATTTCCGTAAATTGAGTGAAAACGTGGCAAAAACGGTTTGCGAGATATAAAAAGTTTTGTTTGATACCGAGTGGTGAAGTTTTTTCATTCGTTCATGTTTAAATTATAAACCGTTACGATTTCGTATCGCGTTCCTTCGTTTGATAGGACCAATCGATCTGCCTGCAGTCTATATAAAGGACGTGTATTCAAATAATTGATTGTGCGCTTTATATCTCTCGACAAAGCATTGCTGTCTTATTTGCCGGCCACATTTATGGAGAAAAGGGCATCTGCTGTCTGCGTACTCAGCCACATACATGTTCATATATCCGCATACAGCAGATGGATACATGGATCAAATACTATCATGTTTAATCACGTTCTTATCGTTCCAAGTACTTTTGCCACCAATGTATCAAATTACTGGACGCACTCGTAGGTATAAAGCTTTTGTGATGTAACGTAAGTCAAGACCGTTGCTCTTCATGCAGAACTGTTTCCTTTGTGGAGGATCACACTCGAGGTCGAGGTCGCCTGGACTCCAAGGTCAAAAGCAAATTTGTCTATTTATGCACGGATGCAACTTAGGATTTTAATTCATAAACTTAGGGAGACATGGTTTACATTGGAAGTTTTTAGGAGGTAAATAATTTTGGTAATATTTTTAAGAATTCAATAATTTTATTCACATTTTTGAAGAACAAAAAACTGGACAGGAGTACTTATTTTTAACAAAAAATATAATATTGGCTGCATTAATGGACGTCAGGCCAAGGCCTATGTAGTAATATTTTAAATTCTTCCGGCATAAACTACAATTACATTTAAGAAGTTTTTGTTTGAATTTAGTGAATTTTACTGGGTTTAGGAGATTCTTTTTTTGAACAGTTGGTATGTAAATAATAACATTAACGTAAACGGGACAGACTATCTGGTGCTGGTTAATTTATAGAAAAAAAGCAATTCCAACGAGTGAACATTAATATATGCGGCACATCAGTGACAATCAAATTAAATTTGTTTTTGTATAAAGTTGAAAACGCTTGTATGTGTATGCGAAAATAATACGCTAACTTTCCATACCCAATGGTAGTAGTGGGAAAGTTTAACTCCGCATTGTTAACAATACAGCACGTCAAACGTACCGCTTCCCTCCACTGAGGTACGAGTGGCAACCGGTGATAAGTTGCAACTGTTTGACGAACGTGTAATGCAGTTCCCTCACGGGCAAATACCAACGTTCGACTCTAGCAACTTTCTGCAAGTTCTGAGCGCCCCCTTCACATTAAATTCGAGCACCCACTGGCTGCATATTACTTCGAGGACTGAAAATAAGTAGTGCCAAGTTCGGCATATCACGCGCCTTGAATTACATTTCGATTCAATTGCAAATTAAGTCTTCAATTATTGTTTTAAATCGTATAAGTAATCTTTTAGTTCTATTGAACTGTGAAGGAACCTTACTCAATCAATCAATCAAATATCTTTATTCAAATAGACGCTTGCGCATTCTTATGAATCGTCAAATTTTAAATAAAAAATTAAATATGTAGGTTCGTAAGGTACCAACCGGTTCGGAAGGCAGTTGAGAAGAGACCGGCAAGAAACTCAACAGTTGCTCTTTTTCTAAACTCTTATTTTTCTCTTCTTTCTTTTTTTTCAAAAGACTTAATGCTCTACTACTACATTTACATAACTACTTTTTTATGAGAGATGGTGATGGTTATCGTAGGCCGTTCGCTTAAAATATATTTCATAATCTCCGCCCGTGGAGCCACGCCGTCCGTGTCGCTGAAACATTCCTTTTTCATCCTTTAAGTGTGCCCACGTTACCGCACACGGCAGACAAAATAAAAACTATAAAAGTAATGCCCAGCTTCTAACTGATAGTTACGTAATGTAGATTATGTTCATGTTGACCAGAAAATGCATACTCAATATATATATGTACCTAGATATCGGCTCGTGTTTTATTACTAAAAAAATATTTGCTACCCATGATGTGCAATAAACAGAACATATAACGTAGATACCTATGTAATTTTTTTAAAATTGTTATGTGCTGTGTATATGTCAGTTGTGTCGCATCGAAAACCTTCCTACTTTATTCTTTCTTTTTATCTTTCTTTCTCTGTTTCTCAATTTGTGCCGGTCTGCAACGAAGCCAGGCAGACAGAACCACTTATGCAACAGTAGAGGCTACTACGTGGAGCTCTATCACAATGTTCAAATACGAGGTAGATATGATAATAGCGCACCGAAACTGAGGCACTCGAATTACACCAATTGGTGTAATTAGTATTAATTGCAAAGAAAATTATATTGCAATCCTTTGACTGTGATCCGGTTCCGTATCGTACCTACGTTCCATATGATCTGTCACATTCACATTCATATGTATGATACATACAGCGCGTCGTTACAACCGCGACAATAAATGAACACACGTCAAACGCTACTTCCCAATAATCATAAAAAAATATAAAACTTTAAAAAAAATTAAATAAAATATATTTTTCAAACAAACTAATTAAATAAAAAGGAAACAAAATTTGTAACATCCTATACAACCACAACTGACTGACTCATACATTCAGAGACTTTTTCATTCGTTGCCACAACGTCGCATTACAAGTCTCTCCCAACAATATGTTTTATCTTTTTTAAATTCATTCAACCCATAATGCTTTGTGACATTTACAAATGAACTTTACGTTACAGTTTTATAAGTACGGTTGTTTTTAAAATGTATGTTTTGTAAAATTTAATAAGTCGGTAAATATTGAAGTTTAAAGAATGTAAATGCTTAATACAATTTTAAAAAGTTATCCTCTATATGTGCGTTCCTTTATTGTCGCGATGGTAACGACACACTGCATAATGTAAAGCTAAACAATTTATAAACGCCGCGCAGTGTG